AGACAGACAGATTTTGGGTTCCCAAAGTGTAAAAACAGGGTCTTGTTTTTTCTTCTTAGCACTTGGCTGAGTGCTTGCTCAGAAAATCTTTAATGCAGTGAATTTAAACACACACTATTTCTAATCCAATTTCACTGCACTAATATTCAGTACTGCTTATCAATGCTGTGCATTGCTTTGTTAGCTCATATTACTTCCAAAAAAATGTTAATGTCTAGATAAAGAGAGGTGGGGTAACAACAAGAGGAAGAATGTGGAAGTGTTACTCACTGTGTAGGGATCAGTGATAAGAGGGAGGAAACCAATTAGCATTCTTCTCATTATCAGTTGTCTTCAACTGAGTTATGATGACCTGCAGAGAATTTCCCATAGACATGGTAAAAAACTAAATAAGTAAACAAGAAATAAGCAGATTGCTTAACTGCGTTTGATATTTAAGTAATCAGTCTTACAGAATGATTTCAAGAGTGATTCACTGAACTCTAGTGTACTATTTACAGCAGATGTTTTACCATAAGATACCCTCCTTCATGTGCTTTGCTATATTCTACAGATAATATAGCAAAACTTTCATGAGACCCACTTCATCCACTATGTCAAAACTCAGTTACAGCCTGTTTTTCAATGATCCCTGGTTACAATTTATATCTTTGCTATTGAATGAAAACTTTCCCCCTCCATTTTCATAGAATTCTGAGCTTTCTTTATACTAAATGGATTATAATTCCTGACTATAAACTTTGTAGAAGATGTTGAAGAACAGTACACTCTGCATGGTTTCATCAAACATTATCAGATACAGCTCTTGCCAAATTCTGGCAAAAAAAAAATGTAATAGTTTTATAGGGAGAAACAGAATAAAATTTTCACAAAGTAAAGTTTAAAGAAGATCTCTAACACAATTATGCACATCTCTTTTCAACCACATACTACTCTGCTTAGGTTAATCAGTACTGTAATAAAAGTTTCATAATCATCACTTATCAAGTACCTACTGTGTGTTGGGTGCTTGAGAGTTTCGCATATAATCTAAAAACAATCATAAAAGTTTTAGTTACAGGTCACAATTTACAGAAGTTATAAATGTTTGGAAGAACCCAACTATCTGCAATCACAAGGTCTTTAAGAGATTCTTAAGATTAACTCCCAACCCATGCTCTGGTGCTATAGGACATTTCCTTCTATCTTATGCCATATTTACCAATATTTTTCTTAGGAAACAGATGTACACACATCTTACACACAAGGCAATGAGCACTGATCAGAACAGAGAAGAAATTCGACCCAAATGAATGATCCAAAAGAAAAAAATTAATATTTAAGATTAGAATTTAGTTTTTGATTCCATGTTTAGGTTTTTGTTTGTTTATTTTTAGGGAGCAGGGCACTGTATTTTCTATAGAGAAATTCTTCATTTGTTGTAGTTTTATATTATAGGTATACATTTTAAAATAAAATTCAATAGTAAAAGGATGTTTCATTCAAATTAGAAGTGGTACTTTATCCTCAGAATAAGTTCACTAAAACCAGAAAATTCTATCAATGGATAGGATTAGGTTATATTTCTCCACTAAAAAAAATGCCATAAATTTAATGGTGGCCAAGATTTGTCTAATTAATTACAGTACCAGTTCCTCACATATTTAACCTTGGAACATGGCAGGCATGTTCTCTTTTGAGTCATCTTAAAAATCCTTGGTAAATTATTGATGATCCCTTCCCTGCAATTCCAAAAATCAGAGAACCTTTAGAATCTGAAGTTGGGTAAGTTGATACTAGCACTTATTTGGCTGAAAACATGCCCTGAACTGACACGAGATTATAGATGGTCTGTATTTCTTTGTACGAATTGTCATGTGTTTTCAGAATGAATATTAATATTTTCATTAAGGAATGCCACAGGTGGTGTGTAATATATGGTACATGCCCTACATGACTATTCCCATAACAAGCACTTCTGAATACTAAAGCACCTCTGGCCCCAAGAGTTTTGTAAAATCAATTTTGAAAATGCTTGTCTTTCATTTCTTAGTTCTATTGTAGTTATACAAAAGCTATCATATGATTATATAGTGAAATTTCACTGAGTAAACGTATTTAAAATTAATTTGAAATAAGGGGACATATTTAATAATTAATGTACTAACATTAAATAATCTGAATTCCAGGGCATCTACTCTTGGTAGAGACAAACATAGTCTTTTTTCTTTCATACTGTATAGTCAGAAGATTTCAACAATCAAGGTAGAGGTCATTTCTTTCCCACCAAAATTTTCTTCAAGCCCTTTTGCAGTTAATCCCCTTTCCATCCATAACAGGGGAAGTATTTCTGCCACCATAGAATGGAATCAGATAACATGGAATCTTTTTGGTCTGGCTCTTTAGATCAGCAAGATGATCTTGAAATTTATCCATCTTGGTGAGTATTTCAGTAGTTTTGCTTCCTTTTATTGTTGAGTAGTACTCCACTGTATAAATATTTCACAATTATTTACTTATTTTGGACATTTTGGTTGTTTCCACCTTGAGGTCATTAGGAGTAAATTTGCTATAAACATTCATGCATGAGTCTTTTTGTGGACACACATTTTCTTTTTTTCTTGGGTAAATACCTAGAAAAGACTTAAAAGAGAATTACTTGGTCCACTTTTTAAAGGTATATTTAACTATAAGAAATTGCCAAATTATTTTCCAATTGTTTTATCATTTTATATCCCCAGTAACAGTGTATGAAAGTTCTAGTTGCTATATGCAGATGATACTGTCAGGTTTTCATTTCTATAATTGTAGCTAATCTAATAGACATATAGTAGTATCTGACGTTGTTTTAAATTTGCATTTCCCTGACGACTAAAGAAGTTCAACATCTGTTTCTGAGCTTATTAGCCATTTGTACATCTGTTTTGTGAGGTGCTTGTTCAAATTATTATTAATATTTTGGTCTTGTTATTGTTGAAGAATTTCTTACTGTATTCTGAATCTAAGTCCTTTAGCAGATGTATGTGTTATGAATATTGCTTTCAGCCTGAGACTTGACTGGTTTTTGTTTTTTTGTTTTGTTTTGTTTTGTTTTTTTAGTAGTGTCATTAGCAGAGCAAAATTTTTACTTTTACTTGATTCCATTTTTAAAAGTTCTTTTGCGGGACCCATACTGTTTTTGTCATAAGAATTCCTTATTTACTCTCATGCCTCAAAGATTTTCTTAAATTTTTTTTTAACTGTTCAGAAATGAAACTGTCCTGTGAAATATTGAGCAACTTTTTCTTCTTTATTGAGGGGGAAGTTAGGCCAACTGTATGTTAAATTGTGTCTTAGTGAGTATTTTTTAAAACAGTTCCTGAGATTTTTCTATGAAAAAAAAGATATTTTTTTTCTAAATTACATAGTTGAATCAGCACATACTCCTCAGAAAATATACCCTCCATTAGTAAGAATAAATATAGTCCAAGAGCAAATCTAAATGCCTCACGAAAAATATTTATAAGAGCCATCCTTCTAAAGATGTCCTAGGCACCAGAAGATCATTCTCGATGGAACAAAAAGGCTCTATGAAAATGTAGCACCCACCTGGGCCGTAGATAATGGCAGAATAAGGGCAAAAAGGCAGCATCCCGTGCAGCATGGTATAAAAAGGTACATGGAGGCCTATTTATTAAAAGTAGGGATTTTAGGCAACAGTAGGCTCTGCCACTTGGCTGGAGATTAGCTCCATTTTAGGATCATAGTGAGGCCTATGACTGCAAAGATAGCTTGGAAGAGTATTAACTGTGATGTGAAGTGCTCACTAGGTTTTTCCTGGAAGAACACACCCATTTCAAGCAGAGAAAGAGTAGAGTCAATCAGGTGCTTTAGAAAGGCTATTGGCAGTGCCTTGGTGAGCATGGTGCAAGAGGTGAAGACAGACACCTGTCGGGATTCAGAGGGAGCAGACTCCACTTCCCCTTCTACAGGCGTGCACGTCCGGTCTCTGCATCATGATTGTCAGTCTTTTGCGAAGGTGAGTTTGTGATTTATTCCTCTTTTAATATTCTCCAACCTCTAGAATAAACCACAATATCAGCAAGATTGATTGATACTGTGCTGTCTGAAGAGGTATACGAGGACGACAAAGAGAGATCAGAAATTGCCAGTTCAGAGAAAATGTGAATCCTAGATTCATTCTTAGAATTGGCTTTCAGAACATCGTATCACATCACACCAGAATATTACTATGTCGAGGTGAATTTTGTTTTCCATCCTGTGAACACAGGGCACTCAATGTTTTTTTCCCAAAGGCTCTCAGGTGTACTTCGACTGGCTACAAAATAGGAAGTTTAAATGAAATGATTCTATGGTCCCTTTCATCTCTGAACTTGTAAACATTGTTACAAGCCCAATATCTTATATCTTTGGTAGATATCATTTAATGTGAGGTGGCGTAGGGGTTTTAAAAGTTGTTTTAACAAGTATTCTTAGCTTGGAGGGGTGGCAGAGGCCTGTAATCTCAGAAGCTCATGAGGCTGAGGCAGGAGGATCAAGAGTTCAAAACCAGCCTCAGCCATGGTGAAGCAATGAGCAACTCAGTGAGACCTTGTCTCTAAATAAAATACAAAATAGGGCTGGGGATATGGCTCAGTGGTCAAATGCCCCTGAGTTCAATCCCCAGTACCCTCCCCCGCCAAAAAAAGTAGTCCTAAAAAAATGTTATCCCAATGTTAACATTTAGAATGAAAAACATAGTAAATGTATAATTGACAGGTTACTGGTTATTTGATAATGGAGCCTTCATATGATTAAGGTTACTTTTTAGCTTTTATTACATTACATATTGATTTAATGTAATACGATTGTATTATGATATAGTTTCTAATTATTCATATTTCTTTTCCTGAATCCATACCTATATCTTGCTCATGGGTTTGGAAGATGGTGCTTATCACACGTTATTTTCCACTGCAATCTACTACCCACCAACATGAAGGAGGAGAGAAGAAGAAAAGGAAAAACAAACAAAAATAAAAAATAAAACCCAGAGAGCTGGTCCATACTGTGTTTTTTGATTTCAAAGGAAAAAATCACAAAAAGAAACAGAACCCCATTGGAACTTCTGAAAACCAGAAGAAATTTATAGATTCATTCACTGTTCTGCCATGTTACTTTCCTCTAGGCCCTGAGAATTACATCCTCAGTTTGGTTACTGAAATAACTTTGCTAGGAATTTATATTTTATTTATAATACACATAAAATAATGAAATTTTAATATTTAACTCCTTTTTGTATTTCTGAATATTATTCCCCAAAGTTATATTGATGTTAATTTAACAGAACAAATTAGATTGTGTGTTACATAAAATAGCAGGCAAATTGGTTGCTTAATGAGTTACAAAAGTTAACTTGTTTCTTCATAAATCCTAAACTTTCCATATTTCCAGCATTTTATTTTGCAATTTTGAATAGAAATGGAAATAAGAGGCTCTCCAGAGAAAAATCCTGTGCAAGCAAAATGTGTTCCAGCAAGACTCATGAAAGCACTTGATACTGTTATCTACTAGGAGAGCGAATGAAATTATCACTTGATAAAGCCCAAAGAAAACTTGATGGTTTCAGATAAAACGAGTGATCTTCGCAAAGGAAAAGTACTTCACAGAAGCCGGAAATTGGGACACCAAAGGGAGGAAGCTGGTACTAGAATATTTCACTTAATGACTGCATGACAAGTCCATCAGAGGTCATTATTTATAGGTCATTTTCCTGTCAATTGTAGGAATCCTGGCCTTAATCATTTGTGTCAACACACACTTCCGTATAAAAACTTCCAACATGATACAGATAATTCTGAGAAACACGATATGTGTTCTGACAATTCTGTTCTTTCCTTTTGACTCTGAATTTGCCAAGATATTTCCTGTTAACTCCTTGGCATAAGTGTTTTTAAGTGTCTGTTCCTGATGCCAGCACAGGGTGTCATGCTGGGAAAATCCACTTTTTGGAAGGAAAATTACAAAGTATTGTGGTCAGCATTAAATTTAAAGGGACATTCCTACTATTGAATACGTTTCCACATTTTTATTATTTTAGATGGTCTTTTTCCTTTTATTTTTTTTTTCTTTGGGTGAGACTTGGTTTCTCATTGGGGATTATTTCATGTGCAAAAGAGATCAGAATTATTGAACCACTATATGCTATGAACTTTCTACAGGAAGAATAGAGATTTCTCAAAGAAAAAAAAATCTGTATGATCAAGGTTAGCTAATACTCTAAAAAGTAAGTGCATTTCCAGAGGATATTAGCTGTGATGGATATTCAGAAACTGCTCCCGCAGCTAATACAAAATTCCTTTTCTAGTTATTAATTTGTTCCATCTCAAAGTTGCCAATTTTCAAACAAAACCATAGAACATAATCTATGAAAAAAATTATCAAATTTATTTTTCTAAGTTAAAACCACTTGAATTGAAAGTCCATTTCCCAATAAAGATTTTTTGTTTTTATTTTTGAAACACATAAGAAAGAAATAAGAGTGCTTTCTGGCTTCTGTCCTACATGTCTGGATTGGGATTTAGGGAGGTGCAGAAGGCTGAAATTACAGTTTGTTATTCAAAATTACTTCTTCAGGATGAATCAGATTGAAATTTTCTGATCAAAATAATATTTTCTCACAGAGATATTACTAAGATTCCAAGAGATTCTGTCTCTTAGAAGAGTCTAGAATTCAAATTAATGCAATAGTTCACAAATAAAATAAGGAAATACATATGGAAAAGAATTATTTGTAAATCAATATATTTTTAAAAAAGAAGAGAATCCTCACTTGCATGAGATGAAAGGGAGGAATGGCAAAGGGGCTTAAGGATAGGGAATAAATATTTCTATAATTTAATTTTATGATTTATGAAAACAGACAACAGCCCTGAATGGTCACCAGTAAGACAAGAAATTAATTTTATAAAGCTGTAATTTAATTATTTCTAAAGACTCCCCCATTAACATTCTAAAAAAAAAACTTTCAATCAAACAATCAGTAAGGATTCATCATCAAATAATCAGAAGATACATTTTTGACACAGGATTCAAGTGGAGACTTATAATTCAACCCAATAATAGATTGATTGATCAGTAATACTGAATGTTTTCACTGGTATCAGCACTGTGAAAACTTCTCTGACAATTACATAACATTGGGAAAAGAGTCTTAAAATATCAGAATAAGAATTCAAACATATTAAACATACTGAGCACACACTAAAAATAAGCACCATACTGTGTGAGAAATACATGAATGCTCAAAAATGAATGGACTAATTTTAGACTAGATTGGCATAGATAGCAAAAAGAATTAAGACTTATGGAAGAATCCGTACTGTTAAAATGTTCACCCTACCCAAAATGATCTACATATTTAATGTGATCCCTAAGAAAACATAATGACATTCTTTACAGACTAGAAAAAACAATCTTGAAATTCTATGGAACCACACACACACACACACACACACACACACACACACACACGTATACAACACACACACACACACACACACACACACACACACACACACACACGAAACCCAAACAGCAAATGCAATCTTGAGCGAAAAAGAACAAAGCAGGAGTCATAATGTTACTGGACTTCAAAATAACCCCAAAGCTGTAATAAAAACAGCATGGTACTGGTGTCAAAACAGACTCAGGTGCTGAGAACAAGCCCTGGAGAAAGGACAGTCTTTCCAATGAATGATGCTGGGAAAATCAGATATCCATATGCAGGAGAATGAAACTAGACCCTGATTTCTCACCAGTTATAAAAACCAGCTCCAAATGGGTTGAAGACATAGATGTAGGACCTGAAACTATGAAACCACTAAAAGAAAACACAAGAGAAATGCTTTAGGATGTTGGGATGGGCAAGAAATTTTTTAACAAGATGGCAAAAACACTGAAAAAAAAAGAACCAAAATAAACAGTTATATCCAACTAAAAAAGTTTCAACACATCAAAGGACTACACAACAGAGTGAAAAGCCAACCTACAGAATGAGAGAAAATATTTTCACACTGTATATCTGGTAAGAGGTATATCCAGAGTACAGAAGGAACTCAAAAAAATTCAATAGCAAACCAGGTATGGTGGTGTATACCTATAATTCCAGCAACTTGAGAGGCTGAGGCAGGAGGATATACGTTTGAGGTCAAATTCAGCAATTTAGTAAGACCCACAGCAATTTAGCAAGACCTTATTTCAAAATTAAAAGTAAAAAGGACTGGGGATATAGTTCATGGTAAAGCACCCCTGTGTTCAATCCCCAGTACCAAAAATAAAATTGTAAAAACCTCAAAGGCAAAAAAAAGAAGAATTTAATTTAAAAAAGAGGCACTAGATCTAAATAAATATTTCCCCAAAGAAGACATACAAATGGACAACAGATATGTGAAAAAAAAATGTTGATAAATGAAAATCGAAACCAGTGGGCAATCACCACACTTCAGTAAGAATGGTTCTTAACAAAAAGACAAAAGATAATAAGTGCTTGTGAGGATATGGAATAAAGGATTCCTTATACACTACTAATAGGAATGTAAATTAGTACATCCATTGTGTAAAACACTAATAGGAATGTAAATTAGTACATCCATTGTGTAAAACACTATGGAAAAAACTCAAAAATAGACCTACCATACACTCCAGCAATCCTCCTAATGGAAATCTATCCAAAGTAAATGAAGTCAGGAATAGTCATGTTCCCAGAGTGACTACAGCACTGTTCACAACAGCCAAGCAATGCAAACAACCTAAGTGCCTGTCAATTGATGAATGGATAAAGAAAGTGCATCACCTACATGCAATGAGATACTACTATTCAGTCACAAAAGAATGAATTCCTATCACTTGGGACATGGATGAACCTGGAGAACATTATATTAAATGAAATAAGTCAGGTACAAGAAAGGCAAGTACCCCGGCATCTCACTCACGTGGCATCTAAAGAAGTTGATCTCAGAAGCTGAGAGTGGAATGCTAATGAAGCCTGAGAAGGGTGGGGCTTAGGGACGAAGGAGAGAGGTTGATTGGTGTGCACCAAGTTACAGTTAGATAGGACTAAGAAATTCTGGTGTGCTGTTTTAGAGTAGGATGACTATAGATACCATAGTTCACTGTATATTTCCAAAAGTTTGAAAAAAAGGATTTTCGATATTTCCATGTAAAGAAATATTTGAGAAGATAAACATGTTCAACCTGATTTAAACATTGCACAATGTATGCATGTATTGAAGCATCACGTAGCATCCCATAAATAGGCACAATGTTTTTGTTCTTAATGTGTCAATCAAAAAATTTTAATTTGAAAAAAAATCAAACAAATACAAGTTAAAGATAGGAGAAGAAAAGAAAAGAAGTTATGATTAGGTTTAAACTAAAACTTACCTGAAAAAGTGGATCTCCACTCACAGTATCATCTTCCCTCAAAACCACACCCTGAAGAGCTTCTCTTTTATCAAAACTAGAGGGTAGGATGCAGGCAAGAACCGTCTCCCTGCCATTAAGATGTCTTTTTGCTACACTCGCCCTAGGCACTCAATGACTCTGATATTAAATAGATACCTTAACATCATTCGAATTTGCAGACCTCTCATTAGGGATGCTCTTCCTGGTGACCTACACAGGCAGAGGAGTTTAGGGGACTATTAAACACAAAGCCTGCTCTCACTTGTGGTCCAGATAATGTGGGTGTGTTCATTTCATGTTGCTGCTATCATGACTACAAACTGAGTGGCTTTAAACAACACAAATTTATTCTCTTGGAGCTCTGGAGGTCAGAAAGCGAAAGTGAGTCTTAGCTTAAAAAAAAAAATCAAGGTGAGTGCACAGTCAGGGAAAATCCATTTCTTGCCTTCTCTAGCTTGTAGAAGCAGCTGGCTTTCCTTGGCTCATGACCACATCTCTGACCTTTGCTTATCTTATCACACTCTTCTGACTTCTTAGGATTCTTGTGATTGCATCCTATCAGGATAATCAAGGATAACTTCCCATCTCAAGGGAGATGAAAAGAATCTTCTACCATGTAAGGTAACGCATTCACCATTTCCAGGTAACAGAACATGAAAATCCTCAGGGGAGCATTGTTCTATCCACCACAGTAGGTGAATACATATTGTCCCTTGTAGGTTACCTTAAGGTGAAGATTAATTAGACATTTGTGTGTATGAGAGAGACTCTTGCTCTTGAGGAAGAACAAAAGTAAAGAATCCCTGCTATGATTTGATTTAGGTTCTTTCAGTCTGCTTAAAGACAGTACTTCATCAGGCACACCATGCCCCAAAATCTCTGACCAAGGCTAATTCGAACATTTATTTTTGCAACTAGCTCTAACTCTGAATGTCCCTAAGACATCTCATTTAACATTTAAATAAAATGTTAAAGCAGACCTGACATTTTATAAAACAAAAACCAAGGAACTCCCAGGTTGGTTAACTGAACATCTCAACACAGATCTTTGTATTTTTAAACAAATATAAATCAATAAGTTCTCCCACATACAAATGACAGGACAGTTTCTGCAATTACTTTAAAAATTACCTTGAAAATATTAGGTTTGAATACTTCTGCACTTTACTGTAATAACAGACAAGGGTTCACTTTCAAAGTGCTTTGTACCCTTGAGAAAGAGAACAATGATGTCAGTATTCACAAAGAAAAGGCATCCAGTGGGCTCTGAATTATATATTAACTGCTGACTTTAGTTTAAAGAGTCACAATTAATGTGCTCCAAATAAAAAGGAAAGCTTCAAAAGAACTCATTTAAACTTGTTAATAATAAGAACAAAACTCAAGTGCTGCCCTTCTTGGTATTATCAGAATTTAGATTAACCTCTCCAGAGGAAGTGGTGGAAACAGGTAAAATAAATGTTCCCAAAGAAAGAATGACTCATTTGGAAGTTTATAATTAAAATCTGGCCAAGGCCTATAAAACACCCTTACCAAAGTAAGCCAGAGAGCAGACACTTTCTTCAGAGAAAGACACCGCACAACGTAGCTATGTGCCAGGCATCCTTTCTTCAAAATGTGATAAATATAATTGCCTTTCATTCACAATAACTTTAAGAATGGTTCCTAGTTCTGCTTATGATAAAAGGAAAGCAAATCTACTGCAAAAGAGGGCAACAGATTCATTGATGCTATCACATGGTCTTATATTTTTATATTTATAAAAATGTAAATATTATATTTAATTAAGTCAATAAATAAAAAATATTATATTTAATAAATGTCTGCATCATTTGTTAATTCAGCAAATAATTACTGAGGACTGTATGCCCACTGGGCAGCATTCTAGATGCTAGAGAGAGAAACAAGAGACAGAGAACCCACATTCCCATAGCTTGCACTGAGCAGGGATTCTGGTAATAATATCTAAATGAAAATTAATTCCTCAAGAACCAGTTAATAGTGAAATCACCATCTCATAAGAAGTTACTGTGTGCTCAATGAAAAAAAAAAAATTTATCAACCGAGCACTTTAGGGTGTGATGGATGGAGTGGAAAAGTCTTTGATACAGTAGTCTGGAAAGACCTCCCTGAGGAAGTCGTATCTGTACAGAGACTGAAAAGGAGTAAACCCATCAGCCACAGGAAGATCAAGCAGAGGAAGGATAATGCAGGAAACAAGAGTAGAAAAAAGGAGACAAGGTTGAGATTGTTTCAATGAAAAGACATTCACACCTTGGAGTAGGAGGAGGTGTGGAAGCAAGAGGAGGGATTGAAGTTTCGGAAAGGAGCTCCTCCAAGTCTCTTTTTCTTGGGAAAAGTATGAAAGGGAAGTTAAAGGAACACCACAATCCATATCAGTGGTTTCTCAATTTCTCCTTCCTCTTGTGTCTGCTCCAGACACTGCTTGCTGATAGTCTTGGTAGCTAAACCGATGGTGTGACACGGACCTTCCTCCCTGAGTTATCTTAGCCTCTAGTCGTCACGCTGTTCTCAGGCCAAGTTGTCATACATACATACATTTACCATCAAAACTGAGCAAGAAGTGCCTAAATAGATCACCAAGTGCTGAGCATGTTCCTCTCTGCCTAGGTTGTGCACCAGTAGCTGTATCTCCATCTCTTCCAGGATGGTAGCTCCTCCTCTTTCCTACTGGTCCCTTGGCTTGAAGATCCTGAAGTGCCTAGGAAGCAGCACAGCCTTAAATTCAGTGGGCTGCATTCCCCTTTGAGAAACAAGTCATCTGCCCCCCACATAGCTCAAAAGATTCAAAGAAAAGAAGTGCTCATTTTCCAAGAGGATAATGCACAATGATGGTACCAAGACCCACCAATTTTGTGTACTGGGGACATAATACCATATGACAAATCATTGATTTAAAGTGTATGCCACATCCTAAATGATTAGCTTTGTTTTCTAAAAATTTTTTGATCACTCTCTCAGAACTTAATCTTCTGTGGAGTACGGTATGGGATTCAATCACCAGATTCCATGGACATGTGCCCACTGCCTCACTTTCTTTGCTGTAAAGTGGTTGTATTAGTCAACTTTTTTTTACTGTGACCAAAATATCCAATAAAAACAACTTAGAAGAGGAAGAGTTCATTTTTGGCCCATAGTTTTAGAGGGTCTGAACCTAAGGTGTAGCAGAGCATTATGGCAATAGGCATGGCAGAGGAAAGCTACTCACCTCCTGGTAACCAGGAAGAAGAGAGACAGAAGAGCCAAGGACAAGATATATTATAACCCCAAGGCACAAGCACAGTGACTCACCTCCTCTAGCCACGTCCCCCCCCCCAGCTTCTTACAGTTATCATCATTCAAGTTATTAATCCATCAGATGGATTAATCCACTAATTAGGTTATGGCTTTCATGATCTGATCATATCACCTCCTACATTAACACAGAAGCTTCTGGGGGACACATTATAACCTAAACCATAACAGTGGGTATCCTCAATATTGTGCCTAAATTGTACACTAACAGGAGTGAATGGAAGGAGATACACTGGGTCGTCATTGGTTAATGACATGGGGCTCCCAGACTTCGGGCCCTCCTTTATTCACAGCTTACTGTATACGCTAGCCTTCTGACTTCAGATGTGCCACTCCTCAACCTGGTGAGAACTGATTGGAAAAAGTCATCCTCCAATCAAAATTGGACCTAAGAAGTATAGCACATCGTCCCTTACATGCTCTAATGATTTCAGATGCTAACTAGATGTTTTCTCATTGTTCCCTACCCAAGACTGATATTATTGTTCTCTCTCAGAAGAAACTGAGCTTCAGAAGAAAGTACCTTCTCCTCTGCAACTGTCTAGCTTACATCTTCCATGTATTTTCAAAAATAAAGCCACAGAACCCTACAAAATAGAGAACCCTTCTTCTGTAAACGATTTCATTTATTCTAAATATTTCCACTTCTTTCAATTGTGCATGTTTCTCAGACGAGTTACCCTTCCCTGTCCAAACTCAGTTCACCAATGTCCCTCCTAAAGTTTGAGGTTATTTACCATGAATATATTTATAAGCAAAGCCTCCCTAATTCTTTTCACTGAAGCTTATATTTCAAAATGAAGTATAAAACTTTACAAGTTTTTCTCCTAATTAAATTTCCTGTTCTTAGATTTAGCCTCCTGTTCCAGACTATGAAGCAATGTCATAGTTCTGGGATCTAACCCATTATTCAGCTGAATGAACTATAAAAAGTACACTGTGCTAGTGTGAGAAATGTTTCCGGTCTTAACTGTTACCATTCATTCTCCCTGCTGTGCGGGAAGAATTTTACAGTATTACTCAATCACAAAAATTCTATTAATATTATGGAAATAAAATATTCAACAAGTTTTTGAGTTTATGCATACCAAATGTTAGCAACTACCAAAAATGTGCTTTAGCTTTACTGAGTAACCTTCAGATACAAGAAAATAGAAAGGGGCCAGGACTTTAGGACCATGTACTTATAAGTACAACAAAAAAAAAGACTCACATGTCTGAATCCATCTGAAGTCCTTCAGATGAGCCTCCACAACCTACTGGTGGGCCTCCAAGTAGATGTTGGGAAACATCATTCTACACTTATGTCAATTTGTTAATCTGGATATTCTGAATATACTGCATACAGCTAGAGGGTTTTTTTTTTTTCATTTCATTCAAGGTAGTATAATAAGATGTCCCTTTCTTCTTTTTCATCTCTAAATGCAAAGGGTTTATATTTGAGTCTACAAGGGAACTGAGTCAGTTAAAGAAAAAGTGAGGTAAGATTGGCATTCCTGGGACGTACATCCTAACATCTGTAACACCACCCTGTGCGTCCCCGCCTGCCTGTCCTCAGAGGCATGGTGAATACCATAAATTTTGAATATTTACTACCCTATCCACAATGTCTGCAGAAACATGTGTATCAATCATACAAGACACATCATTCCACCAAAGTTTTAATGGTATAAAATGAGTATCTAAACAAATGGCATAAAAGCTGATTTTTGTATTTTTTAAAATTTATATTTTTCCCATAAACCACAATCTAGTCCATGTTATTTCCTGAATCTGCCTCTGCCCAACATAATCCTTTGTTTAGGAAGCTTTTCATTGTGGATCATGGGTGTATATAGGTGGACCACTGATCCTGAGCCTACGTATCCATGATGATGACATTCAGTTAGTCTATTGATTGAAATAAGCTTGAAAATACTGTGTATTCTACTAAGGTAGATTTTCCTGTTCAGAGAGTACATATAAATACACCTAAGATTGGACTCTCTGTGTGTGTGTGTGTGTGTGTGTGTGTGTGTGTGTATACATATATATATATAATATTTCAAAATCAGGACTATTTTGTTTACGCTAACTTTTTGCAGAAGAGGAAATTGACACAAAAGAAAGCAAAAGAAGACAGATTTTTCTTGGCCCCTTCATCGCTGATGATAAAATTCCATTAGGAAGGAGGTGTCAAGTGTTCCCACCGCCCTCCTTTGCTCCTCTCTTGAAATAAATCCCAACAATACCACCATGATCTTTGTAATTAAATTGCTTTACCCAAAACAGATGTTTCCTGGGAGCGTTTTCCCCCATGCAACCTGGAGACAAAGTTTCTCTGCTCATTTGTCTTGTTAACTCACATCTGAGAGGACACATGGAAGTATATGAGCAAAAAAGTAACTGGATATACAGAGAAAGCATTTAATTTTTGCTATTAATACTATGCTAAATTATTACACTGCAAGTCATATAAAATAGCTGACAGAATAAAAAAGACATAAATCAGCCAACACCTACATATTTCATTACCATTTTTTTAACTGTTTTACTATTTTCCTCAGAATAATGAAACAGAATTAATTGGTTTCACTTTCAAAGCAGTGTTATTATAAACATTTACTAAAACTGAATAACACTCTAAAAATACATTCCACTTATCAAAATATATGTTTTCTAGACAAGTATTAATTTAACTCAGACAGTAAAATCTCTGCTGTGCCCCATAATAGTTTCAGTACTGCATGTTTTAACTTTTACTGAAATTCTCGGAAATCTTTACATTTGCCCTTAAAAATGTTTTTATTTCTTTTTGAATTCAAAGAAGCCAAAATTCATGACCTAAAATATCAGAATATTTTTCATTTAAATAGAGTTAAAGAGGAAAACTAAATAACCTTAACATAATGTCAAGTTTATGATATCTGAAATTAATATACTCTGCTCTTGATATTGTTTTTCTTGGTGTGTAGTTAGATAACAAGAGCATATCTTAACCATTCCAGTTCTATATAAAAATCTAAATTAAAGGCAATGCACAATAAAAAATAATTAAAGAGTTTAAGAACTCTCCTGAAGTAAGACTCTCTTAATTCCTATGTGACTTCCATTAATTGAAGAGAGAGCAGGCTATATTTTGATCCAAATACCACTGAAAGTTTTATGAGTCACTTGGATTTACTAATGGTGAAAAAGGCTTTATTTTTCCTTTGAATCATTTCCAAGTTACTGTTAACTAATATATATTTTTTAAAGTTATTGATTTTTATGACAAAGACTTTCTCCATCTGGCAAATAGACTATACATTACTGTCATATTCAAGGACAAATATACAAGATTTGAGTTTTGCAAAGCAATAACATATGGGATTTTCATAGGGGTCTGCCATGGAGGCTGGAAGAGAGGAAGGGAGAGTTTATCTGACTGTGGGAGCAACGTACAAGGTCACACATGATCGGCTTTAAGATGGACTTCTATGTCAATACCAATATTTTACACCACCCTATGCATGTGATACACTAGAAGAAAGTGAATCAACCTTTTGATTCCCTCCTAGGTGCAAAAAAAAAAACAAAACTGCTGAACACTGACAAGTCTGACAGAGGTTAGAACTGTATAGAGTATTCTTTGGAGAGTTTACTCTAATTATTTGCCTTGGTGATGATAAATATTTATTTTCCTGTTTTAATGTACCTAACATTAGTCATAAGTGATTTTTTCCTTAAAAGTTGAGTGCTTCATCAAAATAGATGGAGACGTAATAGACAAAAGTCAAGTTAACTAGAAACTACCTTGTCAATTACTGTGTTTTAAGAAATATTCTCATATAAGGATAAATATGCATACCGGAGAGTGATTTCTCGGTCTATGTGTTGTTGCATAATAATGCTTAAATTTTTACTGCAATGGAAGATGTTGAATGGTATACTTACCTGGTGCTTGAATGGGGAACAGGAATCCTGAGTAGCGATTTTAGTTTTGTCATTAGCTAACTTATGATCTTATAAAAGTTGTCGAACCTCTTTGGACCTTAGTTGCCTCATTTATATATGAAGAACACAGAGGACAGAATTTCTAAGATCATTTCCAACTTTACTAATTATGGCCACTCATTCCATTGTGATTCTCAGAGGTATATTTTTTATTATTTTATAGTCCATTATGCAATAGTTTTAAGATAAAGAGAATGGATCGATTAGCACATATCCTCATCCTTGACATAAAAATTTGTTCTATGATTACCTCCAAAATGCCTTTCTTAGATAATGCTTTTTTCACATGTTGAAAAACAGGGATTAAAAATCAAAATAAAATACCTTCATAAAATATCATAATATGGGAATTTATTTAGCACACTGAACGATTTTTAAGTTCTATCTTTAATAATGTTACATCATTAACATTTGAAATTACTAATAGAAATATTTTAGGGGAAGGTGCAAGAAAAATATTGATGAAGCTACGGAAGAAAGACATTTGGGGAAAAGTACAGAAAATCGGGTAAAGCATTTGAGAATGCACAGACAGAATCAGAGATATCCAGTCCCACAAATAAATGCTGATTTTACTCAGATCCACTTCTTTGGCCCTCGGGGTAGATTTTACAGTGCCCCATGCCTCCACTGGGCACCTCATTTCTTTACTTCTCTTTTGTATTTTTATGAACTTTTTGGGAGAATTAAAATTCATGAGGCTAGCAGTAAAGAGGTGGGAACTATCTGAAGGCAGAGTAGGTATATATTTGTTTGTACCCTGATAATAACTTGCACTGAAGGATTTCATTGTGATAAAATAGACCAGTTTGCTCCTGTGCTTAACCATAATTATGTGCTGTGCCAGCTGATAGTTGCTAATAAAATCTTTAGAAGACTTTCATCACTTAATTCTCTAAAAATAACTTCAGGCTGTTTATCTGTGGTCTTAGTCACCTACTAAAACTCAGTGTCCTGACACATGGAAGATGATTCATTCTATAAAAGGGGCCATCTTGGCTTAAAAAATATTTTCTCAGTAATGTTAAAAAATACATTTTTAAAACATTTGTTCAGTTACACGAAAACTTCAGAGAGAGCGCCAGAACACATAATCTAATTATGAGAGTTCTTTGAATACCTGTTCTCTTTGTTGGTATATTACTCTTGTCCATAATTTGTCCTTTTCTCCTCTTCTGAAATGCAAAATGGAAGGTAAGATTTAAACTGCAAGGTAAATAATAATACAAAGTAGTACAGAAAGTCCCACCTGCACCAAATGTATCACAAGTGTCCATGACTAAGAGTTTTACTTCTTCCCTCCTTGCCTCAAATATTTTTCAGGGGTCCTTTCATGTTTTTGTCTCCATGTGACCAAACACTACAGATTCAGCCAGGGATTTGTAAATATTCCCCACCTCTGATAAACTCCAATCATTTGTTTTTCCCGTACTATTTGAAACATACAACTACTATGCCACATTCATGCAGAAAACCTTTTAACATAACAAAGCAAATTGCAAGAGAGATAAATGAGATTTCTAATGGGCACATAGTAAATAAGAATGGAATTTATTTTTACAAAAGGACTCCTATTTACAGTTAATTTCTTTCACAAAGTAGTCCATAATGTTATAAAAACATAATGACAAAAAGGATGTTTAATACCTTTCAAGAGCTTTTCCACTTAGAATAAATATATCTTAAAACACTCAATGACATATACTTTGCCTTTTTTTCCCCCACATGCACTTGAGAGCAATATTCAAAACATTTTGGTCCTGACCCTAAGAGCCAGAACCTGTTTGTTTAGAACTGATGTTTGGTAAAGAGCCCGTGTGCCAAGCCCACAACTTCAATGAACAGATCTATTGTGATGGAGAGGCACTCTGGAGCAGTGGTGCCAGAGTGGTGGCAGGGAATTATTTAACAACTTCTTTAAAAAAATATCTAAATAACTTAACATTTGTTTAGCTTATAATTTAGCTGAACAAGTACATTCTCTGACTCTACTTAATGAATGTGTATCTGTGAACATTGTTTTCATCATACACATAATGGAACTTTAGAAATTTTAGTATCTTGTTTATTAACTTAACAAATGTTTATTGAAGACCTACTAAGTGCTAGGCTTTGGACTGGACCCGGAAGAAAAGAAAAAAATATATACACATGGCAGTCCTCTGCAGAAGAAATTGCACTAATGGAAGAAATATCACATCCAACAGCTAAGTTCCCCAATGACTTTCTTGGGCTCACACTGTGTTTAGATTACTTTCCATTTTATTGGACTATTAAAAAGATTACTCACACATTATCCATCTTCTCAATCTAAAATAAAGGCAGTGTAACTCTGCTCCATAAAACTACAAAAATTGATTTTTTAGATCTTCTGCTTTTGTTCCAGATGGTTCTGCTGACTCTCAGAAAGTTTGACCCATAGACTTTCTCTGGTTTCTCTCTGTTGTCTCTGTCCCACTGGAGGGCATTTTAAAAAATTAACTCTCTGTCCAGGCTCTCTGCAGTCTGCCTGCTAGCCACAGAGAAGACATTGCTCAGCTCTCCAGGTGGAAAGGTCAGGGTCTCCTGACAAGTAGAGCTCATGAAGAAAGTGAATTTCTTTTGAATGAATTATTCCCCATTTAAAGCAGCTGATTTTATTTTGTTCTTTTTATATGATGTTTGGTGAGAAGTTAGAGCATTTATATGTACAACAACTCTCCATTTTCTCCTAGTGAGATGACTTTACAGTCTTTGGAAAACCTGAAACAAGGGAGGTCAGAAAGCTCAGTGTGAAGGTTGTACAATTAACCTAGAGTTCAGAGAAATATCTCAAAGAAAAAAAAAATAGTCAAACTTAACACACTCATCAGTTAAGTGCTTCAGAAATATATATTTGTTGATATTAACATTATATGGAGAATTATTAGTTCTAAAGTTAAGATCAATGAGAATAAAAGAATAAGAATAGGAGAATAAAAAATAAATAGCTGAATTAAACTCATAGCTTGACCTCCTTAGTGGAAGGAATTATAAAAATAAAGATGCGACGTGAAACCAAAAGCAAGTAATTGGGTAACCTGAATAGCCTTAATATGGAACAGATTCCTTCATGGGGAAACTGGTCTGTGGGTCATATCATCTGAATAAATGCATTTTTTCCAAATCAAAATAGATACAGATTTTCCACTACCTGATAAAGAGTACAGCTGGTGTTCAAGCCAAAATCCAGGACAAACCCATCCTGTAGTAGCAAGATTCAGTAAAAAAGGAAGAATACACTCATTTCCTCCTCTGTTTTGTAGGTTAGAGAAAAATTTAATGCATTTTCTGGAACTAAACTTGGTATCATAGAAAAAAATGTGTAGCCCTTTAAAATTGTTGAAAATTCTCCTCTGGGAAGGATTGGTGAAAGGGAGGTGGAATAGGTAGAGATGCAGAGACATTCATCCCCTTGGCAAGAAGCAAGAAATTTGAATTGATCAGAATCATGATTGATGCAAGTGTTTGAAAGTATCAGTGGCCCAGATTTTAAGTCATAAAGAAAAATTATGTAGACTTTCACAAATCATTTTGTTTTAGGAAGCTATGGGGTTCAAAGGAAACCTAGCAGATCTGAGAAAGAGAAACTACCACCCTGGCCCTTTTTTTTACGCCTAGTCCTACTCAGTACAATATGGTAGCTACTAGCCACAAGTGACTGGGGAACACTCAAAATGTAACCTGCCCAAATAATGATGTACTGTAAATGTATGGATTTCAAAAAGTTAGTACAAAAAGAAGAATATAAGATCTTTCAATAATAACTTTTATTGATTATGTTAAAATGGGAAAAAAATTGTGTGCGTTAGGTAAAATAAAGTACATTATAAAATTCATGTTCTCTCTGTGTTTGCTTTCTGAGTTTCTTTATTGTTGTTTTACTTTTAAAAATGTGCTTTGTTAAGATTTTTAAATTAAATATTTGGTTCATGTTTGTAGTGTACCTACATATCTATTAGACAACACTAATCTATGTTAGTTCATTATGGCCCAGAGGGAATAAACTAATTGTCAGCTGTTTATTGAAGAGAGAATGAGTGTATAATACTTATCAGTCTGTGTCAAGTCCCAAAATAGACAGCAATTTCTTCCAGAATAATAAAGACATTTGCTTTAAATCTTCAGAATTCACTCTGGCTTTAGACCAGGCATCAGTACTAAAAATCAGCACATCTAACTTCTAGTAGTCTCTCTGGGGCAATATGAGTTGACAGGTCTGGATTGAGTTGATGAAAGAGATCAAAACCATTTTAATACTCTTCTTGCAAAGGGCCAACGCTGATTCCATAAGAATGAAGTTTCCAAGATTAAACTGTATTTGAGGGAACAAGCAGAGAAATCTGAAAATTTCAGGGAGGGGGAGGAGAACAGGACAAATGACCTGATTATAAGCACAGTTGGAAGAGAGTGAATTCCCTCCTCAAAGACTGCTGGCTTCCCATGAAGCTGGCCTTTGGGATGTGAAATCAGGGAAAGCTATACTTGGGGAGTAGGACAGTCCGGTGGGACTGGTCCATTGGGCAGCAAGGATTGGTTTCTGGTCCCACAAACATTTCCATTCTCCATTTGCTCTCTTCTTCCCACTCTGCATCTTTGTGTAAGTGATTTTTATAAGAGAAAGATTCTTGGGTATTGGCCTGGATGCACAAAAACATATTACCTCCTAGACTGGAAATCAGCTTGAGCTCAGAGAAGAATTGCAGAATGACACCAAGTGTGTGATTCCTTCTTTGAAATGTGAGAAGAGCGTCTTGGAAAACAGGGACTTTTCCCTGACCCCACCCACACTATCCTCCAGTTTTCCCAGTTAACATCACCTGTATTCTTGCTGTCAGATTATATTAGAATTGACCACAACCAGAGGGAGTGAGGAGAGGAAGTTGAGGTTAGGAAAACCAATTGTTTCAAGCCCTTTCTCCTATTTTCTATTGTTTCATATTTCCTCTGTCTCCCTCTCCCTCTCCCTCTCCTTCTTCCTCTCCCTCTCCCTCTCCCTCTCCCTCTCCCTCTCC